CTAATCTAATCTAGTGTCCTACATTTCAATTTCACCTTTCATCCAAGTAGCTCAGGGCTGCATATGTGGCTGATTTCCTTACAACACTCCTGGGACATAAATAAGGCTGAAACAGTGTGCCTCGCCCAAGGTCACTCAGTGAGTTTCATGGCGAACAGGAATTTGAACCTGTTCTTTTATCCTGATATCGTATCCGAAGACACAAAAAGACATCTAAGTGTTCTTGCTTGACATCTCTTACTACTATAAATCTTTACATTCTTCCCCTTCCCCTTCTTTCTGAAACCAGCAAGATTTTGCTTTTGCTCCACAATGACTTCGAACCAATGATGAAGATGAATGAAATAAGAATTTTGGACGGTGATGCATATACAGGATTGGAGCTGGCCACTGGCTTTTTATAAACAAGTGCATGTAAGGAGTTCAGTTCAAGGATAGTTGTCCAACATAGGGCAGGAAGATGCATGAGGTTGTTTTTTTTTAATTGAACCGTGTGCAGCTCACAAACAAGAACAGGAGAACTGGAAAAGTGAGTCCTGGGAATGAGGGAGGAACGAACCCCTTTGACCCTCCACTGCTCAAGGGGACAAGGGAGCCAAGCTGGTGCTCTGAGAATGATTATCTGCAGAAGGATCTCAGGTTTGTCAGATCATTGATCCAACGGCAGAGAATGGTTTCAGATAAATAATTTATTTATCTCAAGCTCAAGGCAGGGGACTTTTATTGCCAAATGTACTTCTCCTTCTTACACAGATAAGCTACATAAACCTGTCACTGAAGACCACAGCAAGAGGTCCTTCAAGTCTATCTGTGACTTAGGAATGGCAACGTTGCATGGAATGGGCAGAAACAAACAGGAGAACATATTTGCTAGACCTCGTTAAAGGGTGAAGCAACCAGTGTTCTTCCTCCTACAGTGCCCGCCACTCCCTCAAGGAATGCTGGGTCAAGGTGGCCCCATCTTTGCTGTCCTCCCACAATCAGGTGAAGACCTTTCTGCTTCTCAAGGAGATCATAAACAGGATGGTTCATATTTTCTTGTCCCTAAATCTGTTTTTAGAAACATTTTTACCTCATGTTTTAAACGTAATGTTATAAATTTCTCCTTGACGTTTGAATAATAGTCTGTTTTTAGCCTCCACTGTTGTGTTTTTAATGATGCAAGTAGCATTGGGTCTCTTATTGGTTAAATTGCTAAATAAATAGATAGATAGATAGATAGATAGATAGATAGATAGATAGATAGATAGATAGATAGATAGATAGATAGATAGATAGACAGACAGACAGACAGACAGACAGACAGACAGA